TTGACCATACACAATTTGGATTTTGGAATACAAAAATAAAATAAAGTATGGTACTTTAGTTTTAAAAACTGTCCAACTTGATATCTACTAAAGTATACACTGTTGATTTTGTTTTACATTTATCAACTTACAGTTTTTATTATTTTTTGTTTATTTCCTTAAACTAAAGTTAGGGATCATAAAATAGTTGTAAGAGTTGATCAACGATTGAGATTGTATTTATGACACTTAAGCCAACTACATCACATACCTTGCTTTTTTTGTCAGATCAGCTTTAAAAACGACCAAGTTCTTAGCATTTCAAAAATGGCTACAAGACAGTACATTGTTTAGAAAAGTTAAATTCAATAAAAACCCCAAGGGCCCTAGCTCCTCCTCCGAGTTGATTAAAACACATACACATACCAAAAAAAAAGAGTAATATATAAAGAAAATAAGTGTGAAAGAGATCGAGGAGAGTGGGGATGCAAAAATGTGAGGCTGTTTGGGACAAACTCTAGAGAGAGAGAGGTGGTCCTTACTCTATACCATGTTTACTGTTGTGAAATTGTAACACTTCACCTTCTAGTTACCATTATCATTTATGTTTGCTTGAATCGCTTCCCCTTTAGATCCAATCCTAGTTTAATCACTCTGTTTAAATCTTATACAGAACGTGCATCTCGCACCTATGCCATATCTAATCAACTAGCTGAGTAGAAATTGACTGAAGTTTATGGGAAATGATACCGGATACAACTTGGGAGTTAGAACAATACACTCTAAGAGGCATATTACCTAGGATTTGAAGGTTTTGATATCATCGGATACTTATAATTAAATGATCATTTTCACATTACATTTGGATATGTGTTATTCTATAATTTGGATATCCAGATATGTTATATAAATCAAACTTTAATATAGCATACATATATATCTTTGAATATGATTTTAGCTTTTTATATTAATTAAATAGTTTTCTTCAGTCTACTCTTTTAAGACTAAAACTATAGGTTCTGGTATGCAGCATACTGCTGATCAACAATAATTATAATTAAAAACTTGTGCTAAACAATATATAAAAGGTTTGAAAATTATTTATGTCCTATTTTTTGATACGAAGGTGTAGTAATTTTATATTTATTAACTTCCTTGCAATTTTTTTAAAAAAATGGTAATAAATTTTAAAGTTTCAATCGGTTAAGATTAAATAAAAGTTTCAGCTGGATACCTAAATAGAATTGGCTATTAACTAGACATATATATATTCCTTAAACATAATCTATAAAGGGTTTTGTCTCTTGCTTTTTATAAAATAGATGCAAATGAAAGATTATAGGTAGAGAGGTCCCCTTTGTATTTAGCTGTTGTAGTTCGGTAAATAGCAAAAAGTTCAATAAATTGCTTCTTCTTTTTAGCTTTGTCTTTAAATTAAAGAGTGAAGGCTCTTTTGAGGCCAACTTTCACCGAGTTATGTATATGCCATTAATATTAATAGGCTCACAATCTCTCGATCATGTTGATCCATTCGCGTTCTAGATGGTACTAAGTAAAAAAAAAAAACCGAATAAACAAAATATAAACATGTTTGAAAAATTAACCAAAATAAGATTGTTGGTTTAAGTGTCTTTACAATATCTAACACACTAGAACTGAATATGAACCAACTGAAAAGGTAAAAACTAAATTGAAAATTAAATGTAATTGCAGATTAAAGATACATTAATTAAAATCAAATCCAAAATGACTTAAAAATATATTTAATCTCCGTTTTTATCATGATTGTTTGTTTCTCTTTTTATCTGAAAAATAAATAAATAAATGTTCGAATAAAACACATAACTCATATGTTATAGATATTTAATTAATATAACTACTTGACTACTCATATTCGATGTCAAGTGCTATCAGTTTAACCTATTTATAAATATGATATTTTACATGACAATAAGATATATAGTAGAATATGAAAATCCTAATAATAGCTAAAAAAAAATCCAGCTACATAATTGATTTTTTAAATGTAGTATTTATTATATATATATACATATATCTTTAACAAAAAAGAAAAATATAGTTACATTATAAACTGAGAAACAAATTATGATAATTGGCGATTCGTCAAATACAAGATCAGTCGTGTTTGAAAAACGTATCACCTACTTATTATATACTTTTCTGCACGTGCTTATCGATTGATTCATATCTTTTGACTAATCTACTGCTGACATGTATACCATATATCACAAATAAATAATAAATAATTACGCAAGTTAAATAACTTGGATATTATCTGACCAGGTGTGACAGAATTGGATATTTTCTTGCTGTCTCAAAACATCAAACGCTCTTGTTATGGATGTTGATGATTATGACACAAATAAAATACTAAAATATTTTGGTTGTCAAGTAAGTAGAGTAATTGAGTAAGAGTGTAATCAATGATTCAAGGTTACGTATAGCGCGATGAAATTATGTATTTTACATTGTAAGTTTTATTTTTCAATTAATAACGTATATAATTTTCCAATAGTTTAAATAAAATAATACTGGTAAAAATATTAGTTAGCCTGTGTGATTGGTAGCCATCATGATGGGATGACACAATAGTGTTGCAAACTTTTAATTATTTCTATCGTTTTTTGTCAACAATTATTTATATATAATATTCAATTTTTCAAGATATATTCTATATATCTAAGTTAAATATTATTTTAGCAAAACAATTCGACTCAATAATTTACAATATTTGCAATGATGAGCCTGAAACGATCCTAGCTCGTATACATGACTTGCTCCTGAATATATTTGGCATACACATATCAGTTATATATTTATGTAATTCCTTATTTACATTTTTTTGTGATTGATGTATGTATAAAATTTTGGACCACAAAAAAAAAACACATGGACAAATCAGCAACCAAACCAACCCCCTTCCCTTGTGATCTGTAAATAATAGCACAGTTAATATGCGAAATTAGTTGTATGTTTATCTTACATAGAGATTATCAAATCCTCATTACTTAATTCCTTCTCAAAACAGTATTAGACTGATAATCCACGTGACTTTCTCTGACAAGATAATGCTAAACAAAGTTCGAAAAGAAACCTAGAGTTATATTATAGTACTACTGCTATGTATTCATTTTTTTATTGGCATGATAAGTGAATCCATTTTATTACTGAGCGTAAAAACATTTACATTGGAAATTATGTGCACATGTATAGCTCCTCTATATGATACGTGTCTAAGAGATTACCTGATTGTTTTAAGAACTAACTGTACACGGTTTTAATCAGATTATCAAACGGTTGATTTTGATACAACTAGTCTCCTTTACAATTTATCGATATGACAGAATTTGATAATTCCGACTGTTGTATTATAAGTAGTTTTGATAGAAAAGAAACATGAAGAATCAAAAAATTATGATCCGCATATGTATTTTATGCATTTTTATAATATTTGTGTATGTTAAATTTCATAATATTACACTTTTTTAAAAAACACCAGTCAATATATTTATAGAAAATACTATAATTGTAATATCATATAGATTTTGTTGTACTTATTTTCTTAAAAAACATATTCACACATAATTTAACAATTTCCTAAATACTAAATTTGTAAATGATTTGTAATGTCTTAAGTCTTTCCGGAGTAATGAAATTGTTGTATGTGCGAGGGTAAAATCCCCTTTTTTGTCAACCGCGAGGGTAAAGTCCAGAAATTTAGAAAGAGCCGAAAGATATGTATAAGGTATATATAGACACGATCAGAAGCGTTATAGTGTATGTAGCTATGTATGCACACACATGTTCAAGTAATCATGATATGCCAACAACTGGAATAGTAGGTGAGAATTATAGTTAATCTAATGTGATCAAATGCATGTTTTGTAAATTATTTCTCTACGTGGAAAATGCGTATTTATTTTCTAATATCTATATACATGTTAGTAAATATATAAACTGGAATCATTTTGGCGAGTGTGAATTTACAAAATCTATAGACAGATATAGACACTTAAATTCCTTTAGTTAGTGATTTAACCAAAAAGAATTTGTGAAAAAATAAATAAATAGCCACCAATGAAGAAGGGAAATACATATAGACGATCATTTAAAACAAAACAAAAAAAAGATATGAACGGTATTTCAAACAATAACACTTCGTACGTGTACAACTTACATCTACACACATATAAACACATGTACATAGAGATTCGAAATTTCAATACAAAGAGCTAACTCGAAGCCTAATGAAAAGGACAAAAAGCTCACATGACCCGAACCATATCATTCATGGGCCCCTACGCATTACTCGGTACCAATCTCTCTCTCTTAAGTCTTGAAACTCTGTCAAGAATCTCAAGCCACCATTTTTTTCTCCATCCTCTAAAGAGATAGAGAGAGAGATCCTCTTGTTTGGCAAGAACCCATTTTGAGTTCCAAAGTCCCGCTTTGCTTTGATAGTTTCTCTTTCCCTGAATTCACTTGAGAGTCAACGCGAAGATAGTTTACAGATTGGTTTGAATTCTAGGGTTTTCATATTCCCCTAAATTTTGTGGTAAAAGAAGAAAAGCAAAGAGAACAAATCGAACCAAGAAGAGAAAGACAACTTCAATTTCAACCTCTCTCTCTTATATTTTAAGGTGAGACCACACCAGAACTTTAATTATTTTTTTCTTCTTCCCTTCTTTTAATATATTCTTTGATATTTCTTTCATTATTTCATCTATCCCTTTGATAATTGTGGCTGAACTTTCATTTCGTTTGGTCTTTTAATATTATCTATCTAATGCATGTTGAAGATCTCGAGTTGAGTCATCATCATCAATTACTATGAAGAACTACAGCTACAATTCATCAATTCAAGAACAACAAGGGAAAGATTTAATCATCATCAAGATTCACTAAGAAAATTCTCAGGAAAAGGAAGTAAGATCCAAGAACAAGGAGTATATATTATTATTCTTGATCAAGAATCACTAATTAAGATCCATCTCATAAATCTCAAGATAAGGAGCTTTGCAAGTTCAAGAAACCACCTCATAATCCAAATCATATAAAACACATCATGGATCTATCCCTAGCTCCGACAACGGCAACAAGCTCCGACCAAGAACAAGACAGAGACCAAGACCTAACCTCTAACATCGGAGCAAGCAGTAGCTCAGGCCCCGCAAACAACAGCAACAACTTCCCGATGATGATGATTCCACCGCCGGAAAAAGAACACATGTTCGACAAAGTGGTAACACCAAGCGACGTCGGAAAACTCAACCGACTAGTAATCCCTAAACAACACGCGGAGAGGTATTTTCCACTAGACTCAACAAACAACCAAAACGGCACGCTGTTGAACTTCCAAGACAGAAACGGCAAGATGTGGAGGTTTCGTTACTCGTACTGGAACTCTAGCCAGAGTTACGTGATGACCAAAGGATGGAGCCGTTTCGTCAAAGAGAAAAAGCTCGACGCTGGAGACATCGTCTCTTTCCAACGTGGTGTCGGAGATGACTCCCAGAGATCTAAACTCTACATCGACTGGAGGCATAGACCAGACATGAGCCTAGTTCAAACACACCAGTTTGGTAATTACGGTTTCAATTTCAATTTTCCGACAACTTCTCAATATCCCAACAGGTTTCATCCCTTGCCGGAATATAACTCCGTCCCTATTCACCGGAGCTTTAACATTGGAAACCACCAACGTGGTTACTATAACAATCAGCGTCAAGAGTTTGTAGGGTATGGTTATGGGAATTTAGCTTATTACACGGGATCACCGTTGGATCAGAGAAGCATTGTTGGATCAGAGCCGTTGGTTATAGAGTCAGTCCCTGTGGTTCCCGGGAGGTTAACTCCGATGATGTTGCCACCGCCGCTTCCTCAGCCTCCTTCCACGGCGGGAAAGAGATTAAGGCTATTTGGGGTGAATATGGAATGTGGTAACGATTATGATCAACATGAAGAGTCTTTGTTGGTGCGACGTGGCGAAATGGGTGCTTCTTCCTCTTCTTCAGCTCTCGGATTCAATTTATCGAATGATCATGATGATGAAGGTGATGATGATCAATTTGCTAAGAAAGGAAAGTCTTCGTTTTCTCTAGATTTCAGTCCATGATGAGGAGCTTCATCATCTTCTAGTCTTTCTTTATTCTATTACGTTAGTTAATTTTCAAATATGGAGTTAGATTCCTGCTAATGAGGGGGGAAAAGACGATCTTCTTGGGTTTTTTTTTTGGGTTATGAGTTTTGTTTTCTACATGTTTCTTGATGTTCATCACTAGGCTTTTGTCACCACGTTGAAACTCGCATATTTTAATTTTTGTATATAAACCTATATAAAAATATGATTTACATAAAATAACATGTACACATGTCTCAAATTTCCCCTAATCGTCTCCATATTATTCGATAAAATTCCTTGTTTACCAATCATCTTCACAAAACTATATACTAATTTGACTACTTGAAAACTTGTGAAACCGCCTTAGCCATGGCATTTCACCAATCAAACAGTGTTCATCTTTCTTTTTTTTTTTCCTTAAAGTTTAGTTCGAGATTATAAATGATGGGTGGGAAAACAGACTTATAAGTTTCATGAATTGTACTCTCTGTGCCTATCTCCCTACACTGACAAAGTGTTTCATGGTACATTCTAAGCTAATGGGCAGGTCCAAAAATGTCTCTCTTTTTTTCTCTCTCTAATGGTCCTATTTTGTTTGTTTGGTTACTCTTGTAATTTTACTCGGTTAAAGAGATTTTTGCAGGTTATGGGCAGAGAAATAAAGAGAAGCTAGCTATGGAAGGACTGATCCATTTAGTAATTCAATTTATAATGTAAAAAGAACAAAAGGTATGATATGTTTTTACATTGTTTGACTTTTATGATCACAGATTCATTAATTTCTCTTTTTTTTTTTTCTAATTCGAGATCCTTGTTTAATTATTAACCGTTGGTCAATATATATCTTTGTTTGGTTTGGATTGTAAGTTGAAGTGATTTTTACCAAATCAGGTATTTCTGTAGATTTCCGAAACTCACAAGTTCTTTTAGACCGCTAGAACCCTAAATAATTTGTCGATTAATTACTATATATATGCCTCAAAATGTATACATATATAGCCACCCTCTACATACATGGTTTACGCATGGATGTATAAATAGTTTATAGGAACTTGCCAGTGGTCCTTATAGAATACAATTTCCATATTAATTAGAGCAATATTCATTTGTTAATACATGTTTATATAGTGTCATGTACGACTATAATATCTTGACTACACACAACTTTGTGCATGCATTATAGTAAAAATATGATCATATACAACATGCTGATTAACTATCAATTCCTAGACCAATTCTTAGATCATAATTCATGCATTATTTTTTACATTTTGTGGGCGTATGTATGCGCAAGTACATGTATACATGTATATACATGTCCGTATCATTTGTGCTCGAATGATCCTAAATAAGATACATGTTTAAACATATCCTTCTATAGGTACCATATACACTGAGGACCAGACATTGGATTAAGTGTGTGTGTGTGGTTAAGGACTCACTGACAGTGAACATCAAACAGTACATAAGACATATGGCGACTATAGTATAAATGTTTGTATTAATTTATGTGTATAGCTCACATATCTTCAATAAATAGGGGAACAAAGTTACAAAGGTGTACACACATAAAGTATAAACACATTTACAAGGAAATGATCGAATGGAATATATAAATACGTATTCCAAATAGTCTACAAGTAGCTCCATATATTGTATAGATAGATATGTCTCAAAAGGTTTGTGCATAGTTGTCAAAAGTATATAAATTTATATTCAAAAGATTGCATAGAAAAGAAGATACAGTGAAATAAAACTAAAAGAGATGAGTATTAGAGAAAAGCACGAATGGAATTTTAAAAATTATGAAAATGACTAAAGCACACAATATTGTAATATAACTCTAGCTAGATAGCTAGATGTGTAAAAATAAAGAGAATAAATGACATGCTACAATTATTGTGGAGTTAAATAAACAAATCATTCTCATTAGATTCCTAACCTAAAAGAGACTGGAAATATGTAGGCCGGTTAGGGTTTTTATAGGCATGATTGATGATGATAAGGAAACTTCGTATTGGGGTTTTAACGGATTCTTCCCTCAAGTACATTTTTAATTAACAAAATTAATAATTTAATATTCAATTATACCATTCCGTTAATAATTTAAGCCTCCTTTCCAATCTTGTATGCAGCCATACTGATTAAACAAAGAAGATCGCTCTAGTTTTTTCTTATTCAATTCAACTAAATAAACTTCCTCATAGTTAAAATGCAATAAATATTGTTTTATAAAACTTATCCACCGCAAATCATGAATTCTACCAGCTCAGATCATAGTAATACGATGATATAGCAACGTTACTATAAAATCAGTAGACTTTCTATTAGGTCTGGCCACTTGTAATAATTCGAACTTTAAAGTATAGCGTTAAATAAGTTTAGTATGATGTGTAAACTGTAAAGTAAAAGTCTATATATTGCTCCTAAAGGTCATATAGTATATCTTTTTATTCATTTGAGTTTATGGATCTGCGCATTTTTAAAATGTTAGGTCACATGATACAGATTTTAATTAAAAATATATAGGTTTGTGTCCCGAAAACTCAGTGTAGACTTTTAAAAATTAGGCCCATGTATAGGCCCATCTAAGTTTAAAACAAGTCCACCAACACTCTCGGATTCGGATTGCTTCTTCTCTAATGAGAAAGAGAGAGAGAGAGAAGGTGAGTAAGAAAGAGATGGGGAGTGAGTACAGATGCGTGGGATGTGGGTTTAGGGTTAAGTCACTGTTCATTCAATACTCTCCTGGCAACATTCGTCTTATCAAATGCGTAAGCCTTTTTACTTTAAAAAATTAGGGTTTTATGATCATTTCTGTAATTTCTCAAAAGTTTCCATATTTGTTTCGAACATGATTTCTATTTAGGGAAACTGCAAGGAAGTCGCAGACGAATACATCGAGTGTGAACGCATTGTGGGTTTCGTGTAAAGTTTCCTTATTTGGTGTTTCTTTTCATTTCTGGGAATCTAAAAATTTGATAATTTTGAGCAGATTATTTTGATCGATTTAGTTCTACACAGACCCAAGGTATATAGGCACGTTCTCTTCAATGAAATTAATCAAGCAACTGTTAATATTCAGGTAAATTTTTTTTATCTCCAGCTCTTGATTTCACACATTGTTTAATCTTTATAACCAAAGAATATTTGTTTGCCTATTCTCAATTTTTTTTTTTTTTTTGTTGCAGCATCTGTTGTGGAAGCTGGTCTTTGCTTATCTACTTCTAGACTCATGTATCCTTTTGTTTCATACTCATAAAGGCATATGTGTAGTTAGTGGTGTTTATAATTATTGAAAAGCCTTAAACTACTCTCATCAAAGATAGAAGTTTGCTACTGAGAAGAACTCATGAGCATTCGAGCTTGGTTCTTATAACTGTGAAGGTTGGATCTTTCTTTTTTCTTAAATCCTTTAGTAAACTCAAATAGAATTATTGTTGAGAAAGTATAGTACTCTGTTTTTTTGCATCTAACAGGTTCTAATCAACGTCCTGTCTACAAATCTTGCATTTATATTCTCTGTTGCCATTGCTGCTAAGGGTTTGCTAAATGAAGTTTCCAGGTGATTCGTTCATTTATTCATTCTTCGTCTTATTATAAGTAATTCACCAAACATTCATATTCTTTTGTGTGTATGAGATACTATCTAGTACATTCGATGGTGCATTGATTTCTGTATGGTTTTGTTGAAATTTGGCAGAAGAAGAGAAATTCTTTTAGGGATATTAATCTCAAGTTACTTCAAGATCTTTCTGCTAGCGATGCTGGTATGTTGCAGTCTTACCTCCTCTCACATAATCATGCGCTCTGTGTTAATGTCTCTTTGCTAAAAATGTGGGATCTTGTCTATTGCAGGTATGGGAGTTCCCAGTGTCAGTGATCTTCATTATAGATTTACTTGTCCTAACATCCAACTCCATGGCTCTTAAAGGTTAGTCCTTCCAATTCTTAATGCTAATTGATTGATCAACACCAGTTCTTCTGTTGTTTTTTGGAATCTCAAACGCTTTGTTTTGTTTCGTGTTCAAACCAGTGATGACTGAATCAACCACGAGCAGATGCATATCTGTATGCTTAATCGCTCACACAGTTAGATTCTTGGTGGGTCAGATCCTTGAACCAACAACATTTTTCACAGAATTTGGATCTCTTGTGTATCTATCTTCCTTGTTCAGAATCTTATGATTCCAACTTCATCTTCCATTCCAATCTTTTGTTTTTGAGTAAAAGAGAACCTTTGCAGTTTGCACTGTATTAGATTACTATGTACTCAGTTAGTCCACTTAAGAGTTAAAGCGGGCCTTTACCAAGAATATTAAGGCTCTCAAGCCCACAGAAATTTACTTTTAGCCCAGCCTTTACTCTTTCTTGGTCCAATTTGCTAATATAGCCGATGACTTTATAATACATCCGGAAGACGAACTGATTCACTCCTCAGTTAACTCCACTCAACTGCAGGTCAATGACTTTCTATTTTAATAAATTATCAAAAATACTAAAGCGTACACATATCATTTTCTCACCTTAAAAACAGTTTTTATCTTACAACAATTACAATTTAACTTCAGATACATTAAATTCCAAAGTAGTTAACATACTTGTAAAAAGATTCAAACATTATGAGCAGGCAAACAGATTATGATTCAGAATACATTAAACTGCAGATAACCTAATATATTTAACCGTATCTCAACGAAACATATCAAACTAAGTTTAGTTGAAAACTGAACTTGAATATATAAGAAACCCTCAAAACTGAGAAAAAGAAAGGGTTATATGGGGGGAATAAAATGAAGTTATGAAGAAAGAAGAGATATTCCTCTTTTGAATTGAATATTCTGTTGTCAGAAAAGAGTTGATTGTTCTCTTTTAAATAATGGTTAGATGGTTGTTGTGCTTTCCAGGTCATTTTGGTTTTTTGTCGGGTTTAAAGTAGGTACAAAAAGAAACTCGGTTTAAGAGCATCCCCATTGAAGATTCATGGGGGAAGTTCACACGGAAATCAAGAAAAAAAAAAATAAAAAAATAAAAACCTATGAACTCCTCTCTTCTAAAGTTCACTGCGGTGAACCCTACTCTCTTGAGATTCAACATGTGCCGACTCGGGATTGGTCTAGATTTTTTCTGTTTTTTTTTTTTAAAAAAAAAAAAAAAAAAAAAAACAGAAAACTTTTAATAATAAAAAAATGATTCAGTGAACCCCAAGAGAAGGTTCATTGATGTGGATGCCCTAAAAGTGGTACTTGGAAATACTTACGAGAACTCGGGTTTTCCAGACTTCAGAGTCACCTGGCCCAAATCTTGACGAGGACCCATGCAGTTGACGAGGATGAGTTACCTTCAGACCTTTTATTCATCCACAATTGCTATCTATCTGTAGGAAGTAGGGTGCCAACATGCTACTGAGCGTTCATAGATTTAAGTAAGACACACCTTAAAACTGTTTTATAACTATATATTTAATATAATTGATGTTTTTGCAGAAAGCAAAAGAAAAACTTCTATAGAAAGGGGCTATATTGTTGTCGTTAAATATCTCATATAACTAAACAGTTGGGATAAAAGTTATAACCATGGTGTTTAGTTTTGCTGGGAAATGTTAATTGGTGTACCTTAACATCTGAATCACTATCTATAAACATCATCAAATCTCCAATGTTATTTTGAAATATTTCTTGTGTTTTTGTTTTGTTTGAAATTATAACTTTACATGTGGTAATAAACAAAAATGTTTGAAAAACAATGAGTACAGACAAAAAACTAAAGAGAAAGATTCCGATCAAAAGTAGCGGACTCCCACTTCAGACAGAAGATAAACCGTGCATGGTGTGGACTCACCCACTCAATTGGAAAGTAACAATCCAAAGAAACTACCAGGAAACTTCCAGTAAAACTATATATTAAATTTTCACTCAAATTACATAAAATATTATATTTTCATCTACACATCTGATTAGAATTTCGAGGACTGATTGGTCACTTAGATTTTTTTTGTTCTATCCAGGAGTCTAACCTAGTTTTGTGTTTGAGAAGTCGGCGATCGGACGGTGCTGATTTTGAAAAGAAAAAAATCAATAACATAGCATATTATAAAATACACGGTGACAATCCTTGAAAAATCATCATTAGCATAACATAGTTTATTTTATCAAAGAAAAACAGCATACAAACTCATGCAATTAAAAACATATAATTAACCATAAATTTATTTTTATTTCAACCGTGATTTAAATGAATTTAATCATCCAGGTATACACATATACAAGAACTCGTGGATTTGTCTTTAGATCTATTTTTTTTTTTTGGGAATTCCACAATTTTATCAGAAAAAATTACTTTTATCTTGATTTGCAATTATATTTGTTTTTAGATACATATCAATATGGATATGTTACACTACTATATTTGTATACATAATTATGTCTTTTATACAAAACTTCCCACTAAATTACATCATTGTTATACTATATATATTCATATACATAACTAATTTCTTTTATATAAAATATGATCGTGCGCATGTGCGGATAATACCTAAAGCACAGATTACTAAAAGCACAAAGACTGCGAATAGCATCACATAATGATAATGTAGTAAATTAAGGTTTATCAGCACTAGCTGCATTGTGCTATCTTTCACGAAAACAAATAAAGTGGTGCCGTTAGTGTCGTTGGATCTTGAACTTTGCAACGGCATCCTAATTATGTTATGAGCAACTAAAGTGCCGTTCACACATCGGAAAAAGTGTTAAAGAAATTGTACTAATAACAGAAAGGCTATTGTTCCTAAACTAAACACCAATGTCTACTCAAGTGGGGGCTTTTGAATGAAAGGCAAGACTCATTTCACCGCGAATACCGGATAATGTTACGGTGTTTTTTTTGTTGATATAAATCGTACACATTTCTCTTATCTTACTAAAAGAAAAATACAAATAAGAAATAATTCTAAAACTTACGACTTACAAAGCAATGTAATTGAAGTAATTAGTAACTTTAACTTCAAGATTTTCTGTTTTTTTTCTTAATTTAATAAATTATTTTTAAATCAATTATAAACTAAGAAAAACTACTTAATTACACTTTAATTCCACTAAAAATCATTTAATCCTAAGTTTTAGTATTTATTATGATTTTAACAAATTAAACAACCAAAAATATACGAATTATATAATATATAAATAAAATATAAATTAATATAGAAATATATTAATCTACGTATAAAATATATAGCACCAGATTTTAAATAGTATATATGTATATTAGATAATATATTATACGTTATCATAAAATTCTGATCCCTAAAAATAAAAATACGCTAGTGCGGATGTATGTGTTATATTCTAAAAATATGGGTGACATAATTGACTATTTACAAGACACAATAAAATTATTCAAAATATAAATTAATTGTTTAGAAATATCATATTAAACAATTATTTAATACATATAAATTATAAAAATATATGTTATCACTTATACTAAATAAATGTTATTTATACAGAAATAAAAATAGACATTCGTGTGGGTGCACAGATCAAACTCTATTTTTCTATAATAAATCGACATAACAACAATTAAAAAAAAACACATATATGGATCACAGAGAGGTATACCATAAGTATAATATTTCTGTTGATTATTTATTGGGTTACATTTGAAGCCTAAAGATCGTCCAAATCAACTGTGTTCATTATGGTAACAATTTTTTTACTGGTAAACTTTATCATGGTGAGCCCTTTCTCAAAACAAAAAAGCTCTTTGTAATGGTGAGCCCTTTCTCAAAAAAGAAAAGGAAAGAACTCTATTAACGCTGATAATTGCATTATAGTTTACCCGGAAATCTTTATACATATGATTTCATTATAATAAAAAAAATAGATAGAAAAAGGAACCGATCTTATTATTTTGTGTTATCCCAACCAAAATCCATTTTGGGGTCTATATACATATGCGTGGTGACGTACTAACATTCGTCACATGAGATGCGTAAGCATCATGATTCGATTTGACCCAACATTTGTAAGCGTTTTAATATTGTCTCTACTTTTTTTTTGTAGTTTCTTAAAGATCCCAACTATAGCCTACTCTTAAAAGCAGATATTGTTTATTTGGGGAAATTGATAATACGTACAATACGAGCCATTGAGGTGAACACAGGGTATGCTTTAGTTCCAGTGAACAAAAAAAAAAGAAGTTTATATCTTTAGTTATATCTTTACTTCCCAAATCTGTTTCTGGAATTTTTTATAATTCTTCGGCAGGTAATTTTCAGACAGAAGGTACTATATAGATCAGCTCACAAGTAACTCGGAAATGTGAACAATCAATATAACTGCAAAAATTACTCAAATAAAACTATTACTTTTATTTCAAAATCCAAACGAAGCAAACATCACTTGGTAATTTTAATTTATGGTCTGACTCTAGATCATTGAAACCTCAGTTAACATTACAAACTTGTTAACTAGCCCTATGCTAACTATTGATTTCCCCTCCATCCATTTGTTTTTATTCGCATTTGCTTTACTGCTTAACATAATTACCTGCAAAACAGATCCATTTTCTAGATTTAGATGCAATGTATCCAAATTAGCTATATAAGATTCCAGTGATATATATGTGTGTAAGTTGCTTATACCATTTTACAAAAAAAAAAGTTGCTTATACCTGTAGTAGATTCAGTGTCAGTGTTATCAGCATCACTGCTATCATCAACAAAAACACCTGTGACAGGTTTCTTGGGCCGGTAATGGCTGAAATTCTCTTCAACGACATAATCCCAAATTCTATGTGTATCATCATCATATGAGACCACTGGTTGATGCAAGTTAAAGTCGTCATTAAACCACTGCCCATGATTTGCTACATCATAGTCAGAGAAAGTGTTGAAAGATGCTGAGTTTCCTTGACCTGATTGACTGACCACAGAACCTGATGTAGTGGCATTGGTGACAAAAGTTGGCATGGGATCTGTTGGGTTAGCAGACAGAATGTTCATGTCATGACCCTTATATTCCAATCTGCATATGACGTATGTCCTCTGTATATAAAAAAAATTCCACAATTAATATCAATAATATTCCGTTGTAAAGAGACCTAACAAAGTGGAGTGGCGTGGATGAAAGAATTACCTGATCTTCTGGTAAGAGAGTGTAATGATACTCGTGCATAACCCAATCAGATTTAGTGCTCTGAGAGCTCGAGCTTCTTCCCATGCGGAACACCAAAACCCTTTTGTAACCAATCTTACCTTTAACTCCACACCAAGTTCCCCACTGATCTTTAACTTCTACAGGATCCCCGGTAATCTTCCAGAATCCAGAACTCGTTCTCCTGTTCTGTCTGTCCCCGTTCGAACCCCTACGAGAAAAGAAGTACCACACAAGGTCTCTCGATTTCACCTTCGATTGAACTAATAAAAGAGTGAGAGAGAGACCCAGAAATGCTGTTAGTTACAACTTCACCACACACACAAAAGAATACAGAATGGTAACTTACAGCGCAAGTTCCAAGGATCGAAGTCAGAGATGTTGACCTCGTTGATGTAGTCTTGTACGAGGCAGTCATTTCCAATGATTTTGTTAGGGAGGTAGTAACCGACGAGCTCCTCATCAGTAGGACGAAATCCAAACCCCACAATATCATCCATTCTCACTCTCTCTAATTTCTCTTTTCTGGTTTGGAGGGAGGAGAGAGTGCTGAAACTGCCAGGAGTTCAAACTATATATAGTAACAGTGTTCTTAAGATAACCGAACCTAATAAACTAAAATAGAAAATGTTAACTGATTATGATAATACCACATAAACCATAGTTTGATTATTAATTAACCAAATTCATTAACAAAAAACCTGAAGGATTTAAATATTTAAATATATGTACTAGGATAGTAAATATAGTCTAATATATCTATCTATATATATGTAAATTCTTTTATTGATATAATTAATTTAAAAATACTTGATTTTTGAAGTGTTTAATTCATATATACCTTAAACAAAGTAATAAAGATATTCAAAATATCTTGAGTATTTTAAAGAATTTACAAATAGATATTAATTATTCTATAATTTTAAATAGTTGAGAATCATTTGAAAAATATGTACGTTTTAATCTAACTTTGGATATTTTAAGGAATAGTCGGTGAAAGTGCATTTATATATTAAATGAATGGCTTTAAATATCATTTTAAATATATATATATACATACATATACTTATTTAGTTATTCCTAATTTAGCCGCTCATGAGCATATAATCGGTATTAATTATAGTTTGGGGTTTTAATTGATTCAGTTAATATTTAATCTGTATTATTAATGGAAAATACAAACTTAGTTGGCAAGCTATGCGGTCAAAGGGAGCCCCACGCGGAAAGTGTAATACGTGTATCTTCACCGTGATTACCAAATGACGAGTGCCAAACAGCTCACATGCTTGTGTAGTTGTGTTTGTGTAACACTTTAAAACATGAAAGATAAAACATTTGTTTTTGCTAAGTATGTGAATATCATTAATAAATGAGAAGGTTTGAATATCATTAAGATAAAACATTTGTTCCTGACTTGTTACGGAGCTATTAGTTTATAAAACTATCTATTAACCACTATAATCAGTTTTGGATTCATATGGTCTCAAGCATATAACTCATCTTTATTTTCTGTGCTCATCAATTTAAATAACAATTTTTCTTTAGCATTTCTCATTTAGTTTTGCAGATGTAACACTTCTGCTGGAGCTTGCATACGTATAAACAATATGATATGTCCTTTGGATGATGGATGTAGACGACGTACCAGAGCAGGTTAGAACTGCACTTTTTACATTTTTTTCTTGGTAAACAATCACTAGTGACAAACTGACAAGACAGAAAATGCAAGTGATTTTATAAATTAATGCATTATGCAGCCATCATATAACTTTTATTCATTGAAAAAATCGATTTGCATTTTTATTATGATCATGATATATTTAAACTATGTTTTTATTTATTTTAAAGAATTTACAGGATTCTAGTTTGCCTAAACCATCCCCATCTGACCAACTTGCATCCTGCCTCAAATCCGTTGAGACGATACTTGTAGTTCCCAATTGTCGTTGGTAAAATCTATAATTTCCAAAACGGCAGTTTATTCTTAATCCGTTAACAAAAGTATATATTTTCAAAAAAAAGTATATATTTTCAAAAAAGTATATATTATCCAGATATATTTCCTAGGGGAAAAGAGTAGTAAGCTTATTCATTCTCTTAGAACTCAAATCTGATCGTTTGTCTCTTGACTCCCTTTTGTTTCTTGTCAAAGTAATAATAGGAACGATAGAAGTAGCTAAAACCTCGGTCTCCATTATTTGTGGGATGTATTTTGATTGTGTCACAAGAAATTTTGTGTGTCATTGACTCATTGATATATGTTAGTATACTATTAATAAAACTTTGTTGACAGAAAAAAATAATAAAACTTTAGATGAATATTTAGTTTCACGAACTTTTAATCTATCAACTTTATTCTTTTAGATTAAAACTACTTACGCCCATGGTTTATGATATTTTTTCTCTTTATCAAAAAGAACATACAAAAAAAGAAAGAAATAAAGAAAGAAATGATCTCGAGAAATTCGATAGAGGCGATGGGAGTTCCTAGATGAGATTACCGACCACTAATTTTAAGATAGTGATTAGTGGGTTCTTTTACTTTGTTGATTACATTTTCTTGTTTTTTTTATAAAAGTTTACCAATTACTTTTTTCTCTCAATGATGTCATGCATGAGCTAGTGATCAAACCTAAATTGCCAATCTCAGTTATAAAACAAAAAACTTAAATTGCCAATCTACAGGTGGAAATGTATATAGGAAAGCCAGAGTGAACTCAGTGAAGAGTAGAAATGCTTCTTTTTAAAACTTTAAGTTGTACAAAAAACAGTTACGGAAATCACTCCAGATAGAGCTGGGAAACCTAAAAAATGCCTAAATTAGGATACATTGTCAATTTTAATGCGAAAGCGTTGAGCATGTAACTTACATGGTTGCCATTCAAAAAAATTCGGTTGCACGCAGAATTAATCCAAACGACATCCATTTATTTGTTTCCGACTCGAGATGTTTTTGTCTGTTCTATTAACTGATTCGAGGAATTGCATCGACATTAGTAAATGTTAGGCAACCGCCGACCGTCTATTTGTTGGGTCAACGGGTCCAACGGTAATCATTCTTAATTTTTGGGAAGGTTTTAAATAAGTACATTACTATGTCGATAATGAATTTGCCAAAGAAAGAGGAACAAATTTTTGTTTCACGAACGGATTCACGTACCAACTTCAAGAGAAGAGCTAAGATTTTACCGCATCATTTTTTCAGCTTTGTTTTACTAAGCTAAAACGCTTTGTCTATTTATTTTGTTTGGACAAAGAGCGCTTTGTCTAAACTTTCATATATATAAATTCAATCCTTATCTTTTTTTGGACAACATTAATCCTTATCTAGTGCTAACATCAATGGTAAAGTAGTACTTGTGTTTTTGGTACGATTGATACTTTTAGTTGCTGATTCTCCGATTTTCATGTGTTATTATTATACACTCAGTGAGATTCTTGAGCCAACAACATTCTTAACAAAATTTGGATCTATGATGATATTTATTATTTATGCGGAATCGTTTGATCTATTATAGTATAAGACTACACCACAAAATGATACATACCCTTTATTTTATTTATTTATCTACATACTTCTTTTGTACCACTTTTTTTTTTCCATATACATAAATTGCACAACTTCATATTCTTACAAGCAAGAAAACAGAGCAAACAAAACAAAACAAAAAATTACAGAAGACAAGAAAGAAACTTGTGGCTAAAAACCGGATTTTGATCACCTAACCAGCAAGAGTGATCCAACCAATTATGAAGATGAACAGTAAGAGGCCAGTGATGTTCTTGAGATAGATCCACCGTGAACTCCTTTGACTTATCTCCTCCAGAACAATCCAGCTCTGTTTCACTACAGTGGTGGATGGAGCCTTCTTGATCGCGTCTTCAGCCATTTTCCACTCGAATTCTCTTTGTTGCTTATTTATCACCTGCAAACATAATCACATCCCCTCATAACTTAACATTTGTAATGTAACTAGAATATGAAGAAGTTATATCAGAATCATTTTTTCTCAGTGAGAGTGTTAATAACAAGTACCTTTTCTTTGCTCTGCAACTCCTGCTGCTTTGGTTGCTTTTGTGGCTCATGATTGTGCAATGGCTCAACAGTACTCAATGATGGAGTTCTATCTTTAGGAGTGTGGTATGGTCCATCTTTACTACCAACACTATCGGTCGAACTCCAAGCGTCATCTCTCCCAACCTATTAAAAGCCAATAAAACAGACGTGTAAGCAAAACCCGTAAAAAGCACAAGTGATACAGACAGGGGCACATGCCAGTCTAATTTCTAATAATTCTTGTAGAAAAATAGATACAGATGAAAATTATCATCTCTTTTGGCTTAAATGACTCAACAGTGCCCCATATAACTCGTGACGAACCCGTAGGCTTGTTTTAATGTCCAGATTTTTACGCATTTATTATACAGTACTGTATTTTACGGTTTACCCTTTCATAAGGAATTTTTTTTATTTCTCTTTTGTTTTTCTGTTACTTGTAGAAAACAAAATCTTTTTTTTTCCTTTTCTTTAGCATTATAGTTTTTAACTTTACTCAAATAAAATCACTTCATTTGAATTTTACATTAATTATTACTATTCTAAAATAATTGAAGTTTTAGCTTTGTGCACAACTATTAAAAATATATTTTTATCTCAAAATTTGCTTTAAATATAAATTATAAACTATTGAACCAATTACAAAATTGATTAGAAATATTATTGATTACACAGTTTTTGATAAAACTAAAGATTATTATTGAAATATAAAAACATCATCTATTTTGAAACATCAAAAACTTTCTTAGATATCATCAACTTATATTTTTAACACTTAAACTATAATAACTACTAAAATGAATATACTTTCACATTAAATTGTATAAATACATAATTTTTGATATTACATAAAGACATTTAATATTATATAAATCTTTATCATTTCTATTTGACTATTTTAAACTAAATAGATAATTTTAAAGAATAATGTACTTAAAAATACAATATAATATAACATAACATAACATAAGCTTTTTAACTGAAAATTTGATTTATAATTAATATTTATATATATATAAATATATGATAGAACTTATGAATATATATATATACATATATATATATAGATATATATTGTTTCCCATGCTAAATTATTTTCTGAGTCCACCCCTGGATACAGATTGTGTTGTAAAGTGGTGTTACCATTGAGTCAGTGTCACTATCACTGCTATAATCGGGGAAAACCCCAGTGACAGGCCTTTTAGGCTGGTGATGGCTGGAATCTTCTCGCATACATGTCCTTTCATCTATCAAATAGTCATAGTTTTCTTCAACAACCTGCTTCAACATATCATAATCATCTTGATATGCGGCCGAGTAAGGAACTTGTTGTTGTTGTTGCACGTTGCTAAACCAGTGGTTTTGATTTGCCAAACCATACTCCGAGGTATGGTTGAAATATTCTGAAAATCCTTGAGATGATGGCTGCGAGTCATAGTTTCCATTAAACTGATACGCTGAATCATACTCGGACAAAGTATTGTAATAACCAGAATTCCCTTGATATGATTGGTCGACCTGGACAAAAGAAATAACTTCGAAATCACTAAGACACAAAAATGATATTGTTTAAAATTTTTGAAAAGTTAATAAGTACATGACTGACCACAGCAGAGCTTGCACTATTGGCCATAGTGGGAGTGGGATCTGCAGATAGAATGTTCACATCATCACCTTTATATTCCAGTCTGCATATCACATAGGATGTTCTCTGTAACCAAAACAAAACAAAAAAATCCAGCAACAAAGCACATAAGCATATCCATTAACAACTTCTTTTACAAAAAAAAAGGGAAGATCCATTAACAACATAATATATATATATATATATATATATATATATATATATATATATATATATATATATATATATAACTATTGAAACGAAACTAACATAATAGTATAATATATATAACTATTGAAACGAAACTAACATAATAGTATATCTATGTGATATTATTAACATTGATGAGTAATTAGAAAAGCAGGAAGAAGATAGAATAAAACCTTGTGTTCAGGCAAGTCAGTGTGGGTGTAGTGAAGCTCGTGCATCACCCAGTCTGATTTGGAGCTGGTGCTCGTCCCCTTGCTGAACGTTAAAACCCTCTTATAACCAATCGTACCTCGAAAACCAGACAAGTTTCCCCACCGATCATTGACATACACAGGATCTCCGGTGAGCTTCCAGGACCCGGAAGGCGTCGTCCTGCTCTGTTTACCCCCTTTGTTTTCTGGACGGGACAAGAAGTACCATACAAGATCTCTCGATTTGATCTTGGATTGAACTGAGAGACAGAGAGACAGGGGAACAGAAAACCCTAAAAAATCAGATAAGAAAAAAAATTTGGACAAAAAGAAAGAGGGAAACTTACGGCGCAAGTTCCAAGGATCTAAGCTGCAGATTTTGATCTCTCTGATGACTCCGTCGACGAGACTATTGTTTCCGAGAATTTTATGACGGAGATAGTAACCCACGAGCTCCTCGTCGTACGGACGGAATCCAAACCCTGGCTTCTCCTCCATCATTTTTTTTTTTTGGAAGAAAGAGTTTCTCTTCGCCGCTGGTCGTTTTTTGTATGAGAGTTGTTTCTTTCTTCTCTGTTTTTGCTTTGGTTTGGAGGGAGAGAATAAAAGTTTAAATAAGCCTCATCAATATTCACTTTTTATTTTATTTAACTAATCAAATTAAATAGGTTGGGATTTTTCATCTCGTTTTGGTGATAGTTTTTTCACAGTACAGAAACCTCTAGTCTTTTTTTCATTTGGAACTGAAAAGATTAATTTGGATTGGGGTATAGAGATATTGAAAGCATATCTTAATGTGGTTTGTACAATAGATTATCCTGATTGATCCAATACTAATATTTTTGTAATTTGTGTTTTAGTTTCATTGTTGTAAAGTTTTTTTTTATAAAATTTACAGTATTGCAGATTATACAAGTAATAATTGGTAAAAAGAAGAAACCTCAGAGTAAGTAGAATTAAAAGATTAATCTTAGTCATACTCTTAAGCTCTAAGCTGGGCGGTCGAAGTGGGGACCAAAAGAGGAAGGTGAGAACATTGAATCTGACTTATTCTCCTTCATTAGCTGTGTGTAAACACACGTAATATACTCTAATTAAAAATTGATCTTCATTATTCCTTTAAAAATAAAAACTGAGGGTGCTTATCTCTTTAATTTGACCCCTCCTTGCTCTAACTAAGATTCTTTAAGTAGAAAAAAATCTTCTTGGATCGTATGATGTTGTGGTTATTGGTTAAATACATCTAGAAGATTACGAACTTTGAGCTGAAACGACCGTGTTGTTTAGAGCTAATTTACTTCAAAGAAAAAGTTTTGAAAAATCCAACAATAGAACCACACACAAAGTAAGAAAGTAGTTAATTTTAAATTATTTTCCTTTTGGCTTCACTAAGTAGGTGATTACCTACTGGCTCTCACTCCCATGATTTGTTAAGCACTCTCGGAATATCGTAACGTTTCTAGTCACACGTATGCATACCAACGACCATGACTAATCTTTGTGACTATCTATAAGCTCACATGCTCATGAAACCATTTATTCGTTTATCTTTATATAACCCATCGAGTTAAGTTGGTTTAGGTTTGTTTCATATATAAAAATGTAATTGAGTAAATTATACAAGTACATATAGTCAATTGGTAATTAAAAAAAAACGGGAATGGATTGTTTTGAAAGTGTACAGCTTTTTATCTACAAAAATGCATTCCATGGATTTGGACAAACGATAATGCGTGACGTATAACTATCTAATCAGATGAGGACAACAAACATTAGAAAAAAAAATTCAAAAGGAGATTTGATTTCGTATCTTCAAATAACGAAACTACATTCATGACCAATAAAATCTTAGTAATTCGTTGTAAAAAAACGATTTGGAAGAGAGCACATGTCGAAAGAAACAAGAGCAAGTGGTTCATATTGACCAATAAGATTTTCCTTGTGAGGAAAGTTTAATGTCATTCACACAAACATCAAAAAGAAACAAAAACAAAATTTCAATATAGTTTTAGTCAAACTTCACTCACATCTTCCAGTACATAACATTTTTCTTCCTTTTCTTTTTCCTTCTTTGAGCATCGCATTAAAAGCTTTCCAAACATCTTATTTGTATAATCTTAAATTGCATTTCTAGATGACAAAATAGGCTTCAAATCTCAAGTGAGAGTAATTCGTTAGTGGAGGTTATCGGTTTTACTATTTTAATGGATTTATAAATCCTTCTTGGATTTTGAATTTTTTAATAATCCATTGATTTTAAAATCAAAGAAGTAAATTTCAGAATTAATTATATAGATTCCAAAATCAAAATAAGTTGATTATTATAAATGAGTCAAATGGATTTACAATAATTTACTTGATAGTGCTTCTTTTTTTTATTTACTTAAATAAGCAACTAAATTATAAAATAATGTAAATTATATATTATCTAAATATACATTTAACAAGAAGTATGTAGTTTTACATTTAAATAGGCAAATGAAAGTATGTAAATTTTACATTAACAAAAAGAAGAAGAAAAATCATATGTAAAAAGAAAACGCATGAAAATAGAAAATTTGACATAGAACAGACTTCATTTAGAGTCATCAACCGTTTTGTGGTTGAATCCCATCCACACCTTGGACTAAGGCAAAGAAGTTCAGCACCGCTTAAAATACTTTGTTTTTAAAATATTCAATATGTTTGTGTAATGTTGAGAAGTTTTGGTGTTCCCATATAGTCAATTGAGCGTAGGTAGAGTTCTTCTCTCCAATGTGAATTTACTGAATAGGCAGAGTTTTATTTTTCTGAGGACATTGAACATAATAACATTTTCTACGTTCTTGTGGTGGTTTTTCCATTGATTTTTTTTTTTTGATAAAGGCTTTTGGTTTTTCCATTGATGCATCTATATTATCAAAAGAAAAGTAAATAATAGAAATACCTCTTAATTTTACCATTATTTACATTGAAATGCCATTGAGATATTTATTAAACCTATATTTAAGTATGATTATTTTTTTTTTCTAATTTAAATAATAAATTTTGTAATTTAGATAATAGATTTTCTTAATCAAATCTTAAAAAATAAATTCCTAATATATTTTGTATTAACATATTAAATATTGCACTGTGATATAATAGCCAATTAAAATCACAAAATATAATTCTTCAAAGAAATAAATAAAATTATTATGTTTTAAAATGTTATTTTACAAATATGTAATACATTTTAATTTACAAATACATATATATATATATATATATATATATATATATATATATATATATATATATATATATATATATATATATATATATATATAAGCGAATAGTACAAAGAAAAAAATTAAAGTGAAAGTAAATATTTATACAGTCATGGGTCAAGCTCTAGAAATAAAAAAAAACATTATTAACGCATTATTAACTTATTTTTCTTTAACAAATTTATTTCAGTAGATAAATTCATTATCTTTTTTTAGGGGATGTTAAGAATTAGAAATTTAAACTTTATATCAGAATATTTTATTAAAAATTTAATTTTTATTTTTATTATAACTGCCTAGATAAAATTTTAATCTAAATTTATGTTTAAATGTTACAAATACATTATTTAATATAAAATGCTAAAAACATAAAATTAATAAATTTCCTAATATATTTTGTATTATTAGTAATAGATTCCCTAATTTATCTTTTCTAATTTAAATAATAGATTTATTTAATCAATATTTTAATATTTATCAGTAATAAGTAATAAAATAAAAAAATCACACATCATAGTCAATTTATATAAGATAAAAATAAAATAGAAAATAATTTATTCTTATATTATTATTTATTAGTACAATGCTTTCATAATATAAATCCAATTTTTATAAATATTGGATTTATTTATATGATACACTGTGATATAATGAAATATTACAAATACATCATTTAATATAGAAAAAATTAAAAGCATAAAATTACTATTCATCCGAGCGGGTAAAGGTCTAGTTTAGTTTTAGTGTATAAAGAAGATATATAAAAATAATTATAATGGACACATACAATAGAAAATGGAGACGTTTTATAAGTTAGAAAATTGTAGAAATTGGATAATTGGAGAACTTAGAAAATATAAATCTTTCAAAGGTACACGTGAGTTTCTGCTTACACATAAGTTCGATGATACTATGAAGTCTAGGTTGCATGAAAACTCTATTTAAGGTATGTTTTATGTTTCAGAAATTTTTTGGGATCAAAATCTCTTGGAAACTCGAGGAAACTATTTGAAAATATGTTTCTTGAAAAATTCAGTTTGGAAACACGATAGAACTTATGTTTTTGATTTGAAAACTCGCGATTCTAATTTGAAAACTCGCGATTCTAATTAGAAGCACAAAAATAACTATTTAACATTTAATGTTAGTGATTACATGTTTATTATTTTATATTTTAATATTATCTTTTGATATTTGTTATCATTTTAGTATAATGATTTGATTTGGAATGAAATCACTCCATAGTTTTATCGAATGATAACATGTGTTACTTTTCTAGTTATTGATTATAATTTTAATAAAATGTACAACAAAATATTTATATTACTTAATTTTTTCTCTTAGATAAAAAAAATCTTTCATGTTGATTAATCCTACATATATATATATATATGTATATATATTATAGACATTTCCATTTTTTTTTTTGAAAATCATGTTTTCACGTTTCGAAACGTTTTATTTCCACGTATCCATTTCCGATTCCATGCAACCTAACAGTACGTATACAAGATTTGGAGTAGAAAAAATATTGGAAAACCTAATAATACAATCTAACAATATAACAAGATTCAACTCAATATTTTCTCAATTGTATTTATAACTTAAAAACACTCATAAATCCACTCGAATCCAATTTTAAATCAAATCCTTAAACAAATAATTATTATTGAATAACACTTGATTTTAAATCTATTGTAAAATTATAGAACCAATAACAATGAATTTGAATATAAAATTTAGAATCATAAAAATGATAACAGTAAATTTGAATATGAATTTTAAAATTATAGAATCAATAACACGAATATATAACAATATTATTGTGAAACAAAATCAAGTAGATATGGTTCATGGAAAATACTGAACCATCATATTATATACCTAAAAACAAAGAGAATAAAAGTTACCATCAATTTTACCTAATATATTTTGAACTTTGAACTTAAATTATCATATGCATATTGCATACTCAAGTATGATGGAGACTACAAAAGACTCCTTGGCATTGAGAAAATTAAAACTATACTGTGTGTTTTTTACATGTAAATATCAAAGCTAGTTAACACTTGCACCAAAAAAACTAATTAACACTTTCTTTCTGTCTTTAGAATTTCCGGAACGCTTTCTGGGGTTAGGCAGGCAATATAAAGTCAAAGAGAGTTAGACCATTACGAATTAGAATTATAATTGAAATGAAAGAGAAATGTCACTTATTTATGGTTACCTATTTGTTTTAGTGCTTAAGATTACATATTTCTATTTTCACACATTTGGAAAGCAGTAAGTATATTTCTTCATTAATGTGTGCTAACATAAT